GGGAAAGAGACAAAGGACAAATGTGGGTGCTGCTTTCCCTGCCCCATAGACAGACAACACTGGGATGTTAGAGCAGGAAGGTGACTCAAAGATCCATTCAACCCCCATGAAAATGCTGCCCGGAGAGGTGCAGATTGTCATTAATACAATGCTAGAAATTAGCAGAGGTAATACTCATACCCAGGTCTCTGAACCCTATGTTTAATTCTTTTCCCAAGCTTAAAGTGAGAAAACATGAGCCAAAGCAAGTATTCTAATATGAGCACAGTACATTGCTATTCCACCTGGAATCTTCACAGCAACAAACTAATCAAATTTTATATTTTGTGCATTCTGCACCTGACTGTGTGAGAAAGTCAAAGGGCAAATGAACAGGCCAAATATCAGGAACTTTTTCAGGGGAAATGCCGTGCAAAGACTGCAGTTATGGCGTTGGCCAAAAAGTTCGTTTGGGCTTTCCCATAACGTCTTCGGCAGAACCCAAACGAACTTTTTGGCCAACCCAATACATGAGGATACTCCTGAAACAAATGGAAAGACAAAGTCTCCGCAAAGAGGATATAAAGAAGACCCAAACGGAAATTTTGGAACTAAACAATAATACACAATCCCAAAGGAAAACTAAATGGACGGAGATGAGAGAGGAAAACCCAGTAAACTTGAAGAAAGAGCAAATAGAAATGCGTCGCACTGAGCAGGGCAAGAGACTGATTAAAGCTCTTTCAAGAAGACAGAGAAAATAAACAATTCCAGAAGGTTTTACATCTATGTCGTCAGAATCCCAGGAGGAGAGGAGAAAAAAGGGGAGTACAGAAAACATACTCGGTGACAGCTTCCCCGATTTGCCAACAGACATAACTGACAAATTCAAGAAGCGCAGTGCAGCTGAAATAACATGAACCCAAAGAAACTCACTTCAAGACCTGCTGCAATCAAGTTGCTGAAAACTGAAGAAAAAGAAAGAAAGAAAAAAAATCTAAAAGCAGTCAGAGAAAATGGCACATTTTGTATAAGGGAACAACAATTCGAATGACAGCAGATTTCTCGTCAGAAACCACAGAGGACAGAGGAGGTGAAATGGCATTTTCTAGGCACTAAAAGAAAAGAACCATGAGACCAGAATTCTATGTCCAGCAAACACATACTTCAGGAATGAAGGTCAAATAAAGAAAAACTCGGATTAAGTTAAGAGAATTCATTGCCAGAAAATGCACTCTTGTTCTTCAGGCAAAAGGAAAATGGTATCAGAAGGAAACTGGGAACATAAGGAGTGAACAAAGAAAAGAGACAGTAAAAATCTCAGGATAAACGATAAACGATTCGCCTCCATTCTTTAAAATGTGCTTTACGGTTGAAAGCAAAAATAACGCTGCCTAAGGATTTTTGCAACTAAATACATAAAATAACTGCAACGTAAGGCAGAAGAGTAAAGGGACCTATACGGTAGGAAGATTTCTACGTTCCAATTTAAGTGGTAACTACTGACTCTAGTTAGACTCTGAAAAGTTAGGTATGTTATTGTGATCCCCAGAGAAACCACTAAAAAACTACACAAAGAGATGCAGACAAAAACACGACAGATTAAAATGAACAACTAAAAAATGTTTAAATAATCCAAAAGAAGGCAACAAAAGGAAAACCAGGAAAAGCAGAGAGAATAAACATAACTAACATTAAAATAATAGGCCTAAATCCAAGCATATCAATAATTAGGCTAACTATAATTTTCACATAAGGTGTGATGTAGGGATGTAAACACACCAACTGCTGTCAGAATAGATTAAAAAACATGACCCGGGCTTCCCTGGTGGCGCAGTGGTTGAGAGTCCGCCTGCCGATGCAGGGGACATGGGTTCGTGCCCCAGTCTGGGAAGATCCCACATGCCACGGAGCGGCTGCGCCCGTGAGCCATGGCCGCTGAGCCTGTGCGTCCGGAGCCTGTGCTCCACAACGGGAGAGGCCACAGCAGTGAGAGGCCCACGTACCG